GCCTCGTTTACTGCAGTACTGTGGATCAAACGCCTCGTCTAATGCATTACTGTGGATCAAACGCCTCGTTTACTGCATTACTGTGGATCAAACGCCTCGTTTACCGCATTACTGTGGATCAAACGCCTCGTTTACTGCATTACTGCGGATCAAACGCCTCGTTTACTGCAGTACTGTGGATCAAACGCCTCGTCTAATGCATTACTGTGGATCAAACGCCTCGTTTAATGCATTACTGTGGATCAAACGCCTCGTTTACTGCATTACTGTGGATCAAACGCCTTGTTTACTGCAGCACTGTGGATCAAACGCCTCGTTTACTGCATTACTATAGAGTGGACATACCTGCAAACTCAGAAGGGATGAAAAAGGTAGCAAACTATTATACCTATTTTTTTAACATGTAAATGAAGCATTCCGTTTCACTCCAAGAAGAAAAATTACGGGAAAAGCCAACATGCATCAGGTAAAAGACATTTGCTAACGTCTTCATTTAATAAGGACATAAACGGGAAAGAAGGTGTCAACTAAAAAATAAACAATAAACAAACAAAATCAGAGCATTTAACTAACAGTAAATACTCATTTCTTCAATATTTTGGCCTGGACAAGACTTTTCAGGGCCTGTTGCTTCTGCTTGTCCACGTTCCTTTGTCATGTCCACTGGCATCAGAAGCATTTGTAACTGCATTTGGACGTGACTGGCAACCAAGGACTAATTATTTGGGGTTGGTTGTGTGTGTGTGTGTGTGTGTGTGTGTGTGTGTGTGTGTGTACCTTGGGATTAACGTGTGTGAGAGCATCCTGGAAAAGCCCGCTTACGCCCCCACTCCCCAGCTGTATCAGTGTTTGCAGACTCGCACACCACACCGACACAGAGCAGCTGCAGCGCTGCATGGCTGCCATGGCAACGCTGACTCCTCGATCAGCATCTCCTGACGACAGCAGGATCTCCAGCTGGTCAACATGGAGAACATCATGTTGGTTTCTGTACATCTTCTCAAGTTAGTTTGACCCTTTTGTTAACCCACTCCAGCTTGTTCTGGTCTGGTCTGGTCTGTTCTGGTCTGGTTTGGTCTGGTCTGCTACATGTTCTGGTCTGGTTTGGTCTGTTCTGGTACATGTTCTGGTCTGGTTTGGTCTGGTCTGGTACATGTTCTGGTCTGGTTTGGTCTGTTCTGGTACATGTTCTGGTTTGGTCTGTTCTGGTACATGTTCTGGTCTGGTTTGGTCTGGTCTGGTACATGTTCTGGTCTGGTTTGGTCTGGTCTGGTACATGTTCTGGTTTGGTCTGGTCTGGGTTAGAACAGCCTGTGTGAACACTGTCACAGAGGTCTTCATCCTGGACGTCTTACGTTCAGTTCGTCCTGAGCCTTTTCCACTCAGCTGCCGGCTCACTGAAAATATTTACCGGTAAGACATTTTTGGAAATATTCGGCTTTCTTTTTGTTTCGATTCATTTTACTTTGGCTAAAAGTTTTAATGAACAACTTATCCTTTTCCAATAAAAGCGTCAGTTTTGTTGATAAGTTATAATCAGAGTGGATTACCAGAACATTGAGTTCCTCGTAAAGTTCTTCTTGTTGGTTTTAGAGCTGCTGGACCCGCTGTGCTCATGCTGTGTTAACCCCTGGACTGCAGTCTGAGCAGCACTGTGTCGTAATAAATTTATTTGTGTTGAAGGCAGCGCAGTTTTACACAGGTGCGATTTTACACATCTTTAGTCTCTGCTCACCTGTTAGCTCATTAAAAGTCAGGAACTAAACAATGCCACAGAAACTGACTCAAGTGTCTCCGAGTTGTGTTAATGTCATAATAATAATTCAGATTTTAAATGTAATTCTAGTTCAGCAGACATGTCAGAGTACATCGTTGAACAGAGCGCTTTATAGGATCCTATTTCAAAAACATTTGGAGGTATGCTTATGATATGATGGTCACTGGTATGATGCTGACCGTCTGCAGTCGGACAACACAAATCTGAACAGGGCCTAAACGTTTCTAGTGGGTTCCTCAAGGTTTAGTACTCGGCCCACTGTTTCTTTTTTAGCGTAAAAAACTAGAAAAGTTTCCAAATTGTTATAGTTTTTACTTTTGCAGATAAAAGTTTAATTTTAATGGATTTTATAGGAAATTACTGAAACTAATTTGTACAGAATGGGGAGTGGTGGATTTTACATATTAAAGGCCAAATTCAAATCTAAGAAATTTATTAAATATGAATGAATAAACCTAAATGCAGTTTTTGATCTTTTAACTAATTCAACACTTTATGTTCAATGATGTTAAAATAAAGAGTGTGTAAAAGTTTAATTTCTTGGTGCAATCACAGAAAAAACTATTTTTAAAAATATGTTGTGAAGGAAAAAATTACTATTTGTCATTTCTGTGCATATGAAGCTTCTGATGAATGGTTTCTGCTCATGTCTGTGTTCTGAGTCCAGCAGACAGCTGCAGCTTCCGGGTCAGGGAAAGAGCGCTTTCCTTAATTTTCCATGAGGTACACATGAGACCGATGACGTGTAAGCAGTGTTTTATAAATACGGAGGAGGCTGAGACTTCCTCAACTCACTCGGGGTCGACTCTTTCATGTTGGCGTTCTGACTGAGTTTGTTTGCAAAGAGAAAGCGTTAAAGATCATTTTCTCACCTCCTTATTTAACAGTCTCATTAGAATAATTTCTACTACAATGTGAAAAGGAAAAACAGGAGCCAAGAGCCTGTGTCAGAGTCTTTGTCCCCAACAACCAGCTCGTTGTAAAAACACAGAGGACCTCCTGATCTGAATGTCTGAATGAAAAGTTGCACTTGGTCTGTTTGAGCAGCAGAGCACCGTCCATCTACAAACATGTCCAAATGTTTCGTGGTCTCACCCAGTTCTTGTAGTAATCCTCCTTCAGCAGGGAGTCGTCATGAGCTCGTTGTAAAACTCCCAGCAGCCTCTCCTGCCTCTGTGACACCAACACATGAGCATCCGTCAGGATTTACTCGGACACTTCAGAATCTGACACTTGATTGCTCTGAACAAAAGGAAAAACTCTCATCGATGCTTTTTACACACCTTGTCCTTCAGTTCTTGAACGTTCGTCTTTCTTTTGAGTCTTTCCAAGCAGAAGGCCACATAACAAGTCCACATGGGCTCTGAAAGACAAACCACACACATTATCTTCACAAAGTCAGTGTTGAGATTTTTTTTAAACTCTTATAACTTCGGAACGAAAAAATAAAACAGTTTAATTCAAGCATGATCTTCTTCTAAGTTTCCAGTCCCCTCCAAAAGTATTAGAACAACAAGACAAATTCCTTAGTTTTTCTTGTTCACTGAAGACATTTGGGTTCAGATCAAGAGATGAGCATGAGACAAGAGTTCAGAACGTCAGCTTTTATTTCCTGGTAGTTACATGTAGATGTGTTAAACAGCTCAGGACATACAACCCACCCACTTTTCAAGTGTGCAAAACTATTGGAGCATGTGCCTGACAGGTGTTCCTTGTTCACCAGGTGTTGCCTTTAACGTTGATTGTTCAACATTAACAGATCTGCATGACCAGTCTACTTTAGGCCTGCGTTGAAACCTATTTCTTGTTAAAGAGGCTACACCAACATGAAGACCAGAGAGGTGTCTATGGGAGAACAGAAAGCCATCCTGAAGCTGAGAAAAGATGAAAAATCAATTGGAGCCACTGGACAAACACTGGGCACAGCAAGCACAACAATATGGAATGACCTGAACGAGAAAAACTGCTGGTGAACTGAGCAGCAGACGTCGAACAGGTCGGCCAAGGAAAACAACGGTAGTTAATGACAGAAATATTGTGAGAGCTGTGAAGAAAAACTCTAAAACATCAGTGACATCACCAACGACCTCCACAGTGCAGGGGTGAAGGTGTCACAATCCACTGTTCGAAGACTCAGAGCAGAAATATAGAGGCCATAGCCAAAGATGCAAACCACTGTCAGTAAGAATCAGAAGGACAGATGGAAACTTACAAAGAAGTGCAGAGATGAGCCACAAAAGTTTTGGAACATGATCTTGTGGACTGAAGAGACCAAGATCAATCTCTGCCAAAGTGATGGAAAGGCTGAAGTGTGGAGCTACTTAAGATCCCAAGCACACAAGCTCCTCTGTGAAGCATGGTGGAGGTAATGTCATGGCTTGGGCGTGCATGGCTGCTTCTGGAACAGGCTCATTAATATTATTGATGATGTAACTGATGGCGATAGCAGCAGAATGAATTCTGAAGTGTACAGGAACAGTTTGCCAGTTTACAGAGAAATGCCTCAAACTAATCAGGATGAACTGTATTGTGCAGCAGGACAACGACCCACAGCACAGTGCCAACAAAACAAAAGACTTCATCAGGGAAACAAGTGGAAGGTTTTAGACTGGACAAGTCAATCACCTGACTGTTACCCAATAGACTCCATGTCACCTCCTGCAGAGGAGGCTGAAGGAGAAACCCCCAAAACAAACAAGGACTGACAGAAGCTGTGGTAAAAGCCTGGAACAGCATCACAGATGAAGAACGCAACAGTGTGGTGATGTCGACGGGTCGCAGGCTTGAGGCAGTCATTGCAAGCCAATGATATGCCATGAAATATTAAATATTATTCACTTTAAGTGAATAATATTTAATACGCACACATAAAATACTTAATTACACACATTTGAGTAGATGTAATAAATTACTTGAATTCCTGTCTAAATGCATCCTTACTTCCATACCTGCAGTGTCTTCACTCAGACTTTGTCAGCAAATTAAAACTTAAAGTTAATCATTAAATTATTACGATCTTTGTGTTAGATTTATTAATAAATCACATTTAGACACTGCTTGTACCAACTAAATGAAATAAAAAGTAACACACACGTTCTCCATCACCGTCATTAAACAACAAGCAGCAGCTTCAGCTCCAGAGAGACTGACGTTACATTTCGTCACTTGAAACAGAACAAATGTAGATTCAGGGTGCATTCACAGCAGCCCTGTTTAGTCCGCTTTAATCCAACTCCAGCTCGTTTTCCTACAAAGTCCGGTTCCTTTAGGGAGGTGTGAACGCGCCATCGAACTCTGTCACAGAACAAAAAGGTGAACTCTGGCCCGGGCTAAAACCTAGGTCTGGGTCCGGTAGAAGAGAACTCCAGTGGTTCCAGTACAGTGTGAATGTAAACAGACCGGACCCGCTCCAAACGACAAACAAACACACATTTCTCTCATATGGAGCCGTCAGCTGACTTGTGTGGAAAACAATATTCTCCATGGTCTTCTGTCTCATCTTCTGCTCTGCTTCACCTTCTGCTTCAGTCTCTGCTTCATCCTCTGCTCTGCTTCAACTCACTCTGCAGAGTTTTTTTTAAACTTTATTCAGTCAGCCAGCATTGACAATGCTCTGCAGGTGAAGAAAATGACTCCATAACGTGGTGAGTGACGCAGAAGTCACTCGACAACGAATCACTAATGAAATTCATTGCAAACACTTTTAATAATCGATTTTTATCGATTATACTAATTCTTGTTGCAGCCCTAGCATAAAGCAAAGTTAAGTGGGTGACTTTTCTGAGCTCCTACCGGTGTTGAGGCTCTTGACACCCTCCTCGTACACCTGACAGCAGCGCTCCTCTCTGCGGTTGATATCCGAGGCTCGGCCTTTGGCGGTGTGGAGCTCCTCCCCGGCTCCCGGAGCCTCCAGCTCCCTCTTGGCCATGAAATCCCACGTGATGCTGTCCTCCGTGTAGTTCATCTGTAAGCTGGGGAAAAGGAAAGCAGAAGTTGCTGATTGGGTTCAAGAATCCAGCGTAGACGATTACAAAGAAACGTTTTGGAGGGCGTATTTGTTTCTTACTCTTGCAGGATGAAATCCTGAAGTTCTTTTGTGAAATCAAAGATCGCTGCTATGCTCAGAAGAGAGATGACAAATTCTGCTTCTGTGGGGCAAAACATACCAACATCATCAAACTAACTTTCGCTGCTATGAAGCTAGCATTCCTTGAAGGAACACCTTTTGCCCGCCACCTTAAAGTCCAAAGATTTAAACCAAGATCTTGTTAGACAGAGCCCAGAATAGTTGTTGGAGATGAGTCTCCAATACAAGCACAAGAAAATTTTAGCTCCATATCTGTAAGACTGACTGACCAGCCACTAGGGAGCAAAAGCCAATGTATCGCTGGTTCTGGTCCCAAGTCAGGGTTAATGTTGAGAGTTGTGTCAAGAAGGACATCCAACGTAAAACACTTTTGCCAAAACCATAATGAGAGTTCATCAAAGTGAAACCATAATGGATAAATCGAGGCCCAGGTTAACAACGACTGCCACCGGTGCTGTTGACAAATAGGGTGCTACTGTTAGTCGAAGACCACGAGGAGGGAAACGTGTCAGGAGACAGACGAGAAGAGGAAAGTGAAGAATGTAGGACTGAGGGTTGCAACTCTAAATGTGGGGACAATGACAGGCAAAGGTAGAGAGCTGGCTGACATGATGCTGAGAAGGAAGGTAGATGTTTTATGTGTCCAAGAGACCAAGTGGAAGGGCAGCAAGGCTCGCAGCATTGGAGCAGGGCTCAAACTGTTTTACCATGGTGTGGATAGAAAGAGAGAAGGAGTAGGGGTGGTCCTGAAGGCGAAGTTATCAAATAATGTAGTAGAGGTGAAAAGAGTGTCAGATAGGGTGATGTCAGAGTCAGAGTCAGAGTTTCTTTATTGTCATTCGCACCTCATGTGGTACATGTGGTGGAGCGAAATTATGTACACAGGGTCCCAGTTACATCCAACAATAAAATGTATAAGAAAAACAGTAATAACATCTAAGATATGAACTAAGAAAAACATCAACTAAATATACACTAAGCACTCATAACATAAAACATTGAACATCAGCACAAACATGAACATGAGTCTGTGAGCAGATGTGCACGCATGAACACATCAACATTGAAACAGATCAGCAGCAACATGAAACAGATCAGCAGCAACATGATATGGTTTTTCACAGTGATTATTCTAGTTAGAGATTCATGAGTCTAACAGCCTCAGGGTAGAAGCTGTTCCTCAGTCTAGTGGTTCTACACTTAATGCTCCT